GGTCAATGTCTGGCATCAAAGCTTCAAAGAACAGGCTGATTCTTTTGTTAGAGGATAATGCAGCTGGTAACTTTAAGTAAAAGCCAATGCTCTTTTACCATTCTGAAAATCCTAGGGCCCTTAAGAATGATGTCAAATCGACTCTGCTTGTGCTCTATAAATGGAATAACAAAGCCTGGATGACAGCACATCTGTCTACAGCATGGTTTACTGAATATTTTAAGCCCACTATTAATACCTACTCTTCAGAAAAAAAGATTCCTTTTAAAATATTACTGCTCATTGACAATGCACCTAGTCACCCAAGAGCTCTGATAGAAATATACAAGGAGAACAATGTTGTTTTCATGACTGCTAACACAACATGCATTCTGTAGCCCATGGATCAAGGAGTAATTTTGACTTTCAAGTCTTATTATTTAAGAAATACATTTTGTAAGGCTATAACTGCCATAGATAGTGATTCCTCTGATGGATGTGGACAAAGTTATTGAAAACCTTCTAGAAAGGATTCCTCATTTTAGATGCTATTAAGAACATTGATGACTCATGGGAGAAGGTCAAAATATCAACTTAAACAGAAGTTTGGAAGAAGTCGATTCCAACTCTCATGGATAATTTTGAGGGGTTCAAGACTTTAGTGGAGGAAGTAACTGCAGATGTAGTGGAAATAGCAAAAGAATTAGAATTAGAAGTGGAGCCTGAAGATGTCTCTGAATTGCTGCAATCTCCTAATAAAACTTAAACGAATGATGAATTCCTTCTTATGGATGAGCAGAGAAAGTGGTTTCTTGAGATGGAATCTACTCCTGGTGAAGATGCTGTGAACATTGTTGATATGACTACAAAGGGTGTAGAATATTACATAAACTTAGTTGTTAAAGCAGTGACACAGTTTGAGAGGATGAACTTTTCTCTGGATTCTTACAGTAGCCTCCTCAGTGGTTTCTTTGCTTTACATTTGGCCTTCTGTAGTTTAATTTCAACAAAGTAGTCAAAGTGAAATTTTTAAAATATGTCAGATAACATCTTCTTTTTTCTCCCCTTTTTGTTCAAAACCTTCCAGTAACTTCCCATCTCTATTATAGTGGCCTTTGTGCCCTTTGTGTTCTGGTTCTTGGCTTACTACTCCTCTGTCCTAGTCTGGTTTTTGTTGCTAAAACAGAATACCTGAGACTGGATAATTTATAAAGAAAAGAAGTTTAATTGATTCACAATTCTGGAGGCTAGGGAGTCCAAGATTGAGCCAATCTGGTGAGGGCGTCATGCTGCTTCACCTCATGGTAGAAAGTGGAAGAGGGACTGTGTGTGCGCAAAGAGGCCAACACAAGCAGAAACAACCTGCTCTCGTGGTATCTAATCCAGTCCTGTGAGAGCGAGAACTCACTTCTGCAAGCTGGAATTAACCTATTTGTAAGGAATCTGCCCTTCTGACCCAAACACCTCATACTCGGCCTCACCTCCCAACACTGTCACATTGAGAATCAAATTTCAACATGAGTTTTGGCGGGGACAAACCACATCCAAACCATAGGACCTTCTAAGCTCATCTTTCACTTTTTCCCTTCCCTACTAACTCTTCAGCAATTCTGACCTCCTGGCTTTTTTTGAATCTGCCAAGCATAATCCTGCATTAGGGGCTGTGTCATTGCAGTTTGCTCTGCTTGGAAGGCTTCCCTCAGATTTAATTGCTCCCTAGCCTGCTTAAGATCTTTGACTTATCTATTTAAAATAGTAGTTTCCCTCATGTACCTTTTTTCTCCATAAGATTTGTCAGCATTTACCATCTTATTTATTTTACTTGTTAGTTCTTTTGCCTTCATTAAAATGTAAATTCATTGTTATATCTGCAACACCCAGAATAGTACCTGGCCATAGAAGGCACCCAAATATTTGTTGAATGAGTGATCAATAAGGTAGTTGACCATTGGAATTATTAAACATGTGTTTAAGCATGGGGTAGTAGTGTTGAAGTAAAAGAAATTACACATGTGCAATGTTAATGCCCTTGTCTCTTTAGTTGCTTAGATATTAGAAGGATATATGCCAAAATGTTAATTGTAGTTGTCTTTAGTTAATGGCATTTTTAAATTTCACTTTTATAATTGTTTTTCTGAATATTTGAGAAATGAGCATATATTACTGATATCAAGAAATTTTAATTCCATTTTGAAAAATAAAATGTAAGATCTAGAAAAATGACCTAGTTAACTGAAGGATGTAAGGAAATTAAATCATTATAACAGTAAGGATGTTATTGCATGTTTGAGTACTGGATAATAATTTTAAGAATGCTCTTAAAAATATAAGAAAAGAAAGAACTCTTAAAAGTAGAAGAAAAGAAAGATTTTACAAGTGTCTCTCTGTAACTTTATTTCCAATAATGTATATCTCTGGATTATTTAGAATGAAGTACTCTAGTTCCTTAGGCTTAGTGCTGCTATAACAAAATACCCAAGACTGGGTAATTTATAAACAAAAGAAATTTATTTCTTACACTTCTGGAAACTGAAAGTCCAAGATCAAGGCACTGGCAGGTCTGGTGTCTAGTAAGGGTCTCATCTCCGCTTCCAAGATAGCACCTTGAACAGTGTTCTCATATGGCAGAAGAGCAGAAGAGAGCAAGCACATTCCCTTAAGCTCTTTTATAAGTGTCCTAATCCCATGAATGAAGGCTCAGCCCTCATGGCTTAATCACCTCCTAAAGGTTCCACCTCTTAATACTATCATGTGGGTGATTAAATTTCAATATCTGAATTTCGGGGGACACTTTCAGACCATAGCATCTGATAACTGAGTCCTCTTAGATGTCACCTACTGAATACTAACACAACAGAGGAAAATTTTGTAGGAAAGTGCTATGAGGGCCTTTTCTTTTATATCTACTGTCTCATTTGTGAGAATTTCAGCTATTTAAAATAATTTTTATGATTCTTTTTTTTTTTTTGAGACAAAGTCTCACTCTGTTGCCCTGGCTAGAGTGAGTACCGTGGCGTCAGCCTAGCTCACAGCAACCTCAAACTCCTGGGCTCAAGCGATCCTACTGCCTCAGCCTCCCCAGTAGCTGGGACTACAGGCATGCGCCATCATGCCCGGCTCATTTTTTTCTATATATTTTTAGCTGTCCAATTAATTTCTTTCTATTTTTTTAGTAGAGATGGGGTCTCACTTTTGCTCAGGCTGGTCTCAAACTCCTGAGCTCAAAAGATCCACCCGCCTCGGCCTCCCAGAGTGCTAGGATTACAGGCGTGAGCCACCACGCCCGACCTGAAAATAATTTTTATGATTCTTAATGTTCTTTTATGTTCGTGATACTGGTGGTGACTTTTTGAGGTACTGGATTATGTTATTTTTCCTGTTTGGATTCTCACTGACTACCACCATACCAATAAGTGCTGAATAAATGTTTGTTTAGTAAGTGATTTCTTTTGGTTGAGCAGTGATAGTACTATTCTCTTCTTGGTTATAATTATTAGGAAAAAAACTTTTGTTTGAATAGTAAAATTCTTCAACGCTATACATAAACTTAGCTGATGGATGGAGAGTTGGGGGGAGGGAGAGAGAAAAAAATGGAAAGAAAAAACAACAAAGACTATTCCGTTAGAAAGACAAATGCACACACACATTAAAAGACACAACTTTATGCCTTTTTAATTGGATAGTGACCTCATTGGAGATTTTTCCTAGTGACATGATTTGTTCTTACTCTTATTGAGTTAGGAAAGTATTTTAATGTCAATATTATGATAAACTAGATGTATAAATGTCAGTGCTAATAGATTAGTATTTTAGTCTTCCACAAATTGATGCCTGTGGTATCTGGACATTTTTCGGCCTATTCTTATAAATAAAGTCTCAGTGATGTTTAAGGAAGAGAAACTGTGTCCAGAAAAGAAAAAAACTACATATTTTCCGAAGTAAGCAACATAGATGGGGCTCAGGCATCCCCCTACCGGATCAGAAATCTCCTAGAGAAATATCTCTTGAGCCTACAAACTTCAGACCTTCAATATAATTTTACATAAAGCCTTTTATGCAGTATGAGAGCATTTTTTAGTTGATAATCAATTGCCACTATTATGTAGGCTTACTAGATTTGCAAATTTACAAGTTTTTACAAGTCAGTTGGGTCCCTTCCTCAGGAAATCAGTTTAAGTTTTTTCCTATGTTGACTCAAAGAGCCTAGTTGTCCTTAAATCCTGTGAATATATTTGCCTTATAATTGACAGCATTGAGTCAACACCCTTATAGGGTCTGTAGTGTTATAAAAAGAAAAACTATTCAATAAAGGATCGCATTTGAAAAAATAGACTGTCCCGGATACAAGTAATATTGGATATGAGTACCGTGCTTTGCTTTAAAGCACCTACTACTCAAGGAAATATATCTTTGCCCATTATTTTCAAAATTGATACTTTAGTTTGGAAAGCAATGGAACTGTATTTTTGTGAAATTAAACCATGGTGGCTATAAACAAATTAAATATGCAATGTAATATTGATTGCTTTTTAGCAGAAAATTAATTATGTATTTGTGTTAACATTAAAGTTTATAGAGATTACATAGCTCTTATAATTATTAAAGTGATTAAACTGTTTCAAACTAAATATGCTTGGGTAAGTACACCTTGACTTCAATTAATCACCATGTTTAAATGTACTATATTAAATAGATCTTTTTTGAACAACATCAATGTGCCTGAACCTATATAGATAATAATGATAGCTCCACTTTTTTTTTTTTTTAGCAGTTAAGTGCTAGTCATTGTGCACTATACATGGATTAATTCTCAAAGAACTCTATACAAGATAGATATATTTATTATTCCGATTTTATAGATGTGGAAACTGAAGTATAAAGAGATTAAATAAGTTGCCCAAGATTACACAGCTAGTGTCAAAGCTGGGATATGATATTGGAAAGTAAGTCAAATTTAAACATGTTAAAAATGTTTTGATTGACTAATATTGAGTTCTGTTCTCTCTTTAACACCTTTCTAGTTGATTTGGAGCATATGCGAACAGTAAAACTTGAAAAACACTTACGGTTTTGCCAGGAAAATGGTTTTAGTAGTCACTTTGTCTCAGCCAAGACAGGAGACTCTGTAAGTAAAATAATGAGTATTGCATTTTAAAAGTGATGTTTTACTTTTATTTACTAACATTCATAGGAAGTGTGTTTCCATTACTTTTGGAGCAAATTAATTCCTATTGAAGACTTAAAATAGGTGAGCTATAAAATGTCTATTCTGTTTATATTA